GTTCCCGCTCACCCCCCGCGCCCGCCCTCCCCCGCCCCCCCACGGCCGGCCCGCGGGGCTCTCCGGCTGCGGATGAAGTTGCGTGCACCTGCGCATGATGACGTCGAAGAACTTGAGGCACGAAGCCCTGGCTCGCGACGACCAAGTGCCCGGCGGTGGGCAGCGGCGACACGTTCCTCACAATTGTCGATGGACGGCGGGATCGACGACAGCTGGTATCTCCGTCGGAGGAAGACTGGCGTCGCCCGCGCCGACCGGACGGCACGCCGGCGGGCGCCGTGGCGGTCGCGCTCTCTGCCGCGGAGGCGCAGGGCCGTGGCTGCCCTGCGCGGCGCCGCCCGCTGGTACGCCTAGCCCCCCCTCCCCCGGGGGCCGCGTGCGCGGCCGCACGTAGATGGGCTCGCCCCGGCGGCGGGCGGCCGCGCGCGCGCGGATCGGAGACGCCGCCGCGCCGAGGCACCGCGCGCAGTCGGGACCGGCGCGCGGGGACGCCGCGACGCCGACGACGGCGCGGCGCCGACGCTCCGCGATTCGAGGCGACACGAAGAAGAGCTTCGTAGCGGCATCGCGGAGCGCGGCCGGCTCCGGAGCCGCCGTACTCTCGACGTCGCGGGCGCGCGCCCGCCCCCGCGTCCCCGCGGCCGCGACCGCTCGCGGACGGTCGAGGAACGCCGAGGCGCCCGGGAGCCGACCGCCGAGCGCCGGCTGGCCGCCCCCCAGGTGCGGCGCCGCCCAGCGCCCGGCCGCCGCCAGACCGCGTGTCCGACCCGCTCAGAGGCTGGCGGGCGCGGTTGCACGGAGCCGAGAGAGTGGCGCGCGCGCCCTCAGGCCGGCGCGGTCCCCCGTCTCCGACTGGGTGCCGCCCCGCCCGCGCCCCGGCCCGGCCCCCGCGGGCCCCGGGCCCCTCCGCGGCCGCGCGGCGCCTCGCGCGCGCCCGCCCGGCGGCCGCGCTCGTCTGCCGGCGACCGCAGTCGCCGCGCGTCGGCGGCACAGCTCGCCTCGCACCATGCCCGGTCCGCCGCGCGGCGCCGGGCCCCGAGCGCGGCGGCTCGCACGCAGCGGTGCGGCCTCGTTCCCGCCCCGCTCCGTGTCGCCGCGGCCTGCTCCAAGGCGACGTCCGACGCGGCGGGCCGTTTCGTGGCCTGGCACGGGCCGGGAGACCGGACGGCGCCTGCGCGAACCGGCGACGGCGCCGCGAGGACACGATCGCCGCGCCAGACGACCGGCGGGCCGATGCGCCCGGCTACAAGCGGACGCACCCTGCGGCCCGTGGACACCGGCGGGCTCACCGGGCCAGCAACGCGATCCCGCCCACGCGGCCACGAGCACGAAGCCCGCTCGCGCCGCGGCACCGGATCGCTACGGGGAGAACAGCTCACGGAGGACGACGCACACTGAACCACCCTGGCCCACGGGACCAGTCGAGCCGCGCAGAAACGATCGCAGCGGTGCCACACACTCACGCGCGGAGCACCCTGGCGCCGCGCCGCGAATGGTGACCCGGGACGGGCACCACCGACTCACACGGAAGCACCCCCATGAACCACGCGCCCTGGCGGCCAACCCGTACGGAGAACATCAGGAACACATGAACACCTGACGCGACGTACAGAGCGAACATGGACAGCAAACCAATGCAACACGGCTCGCGCCGAGTGCGCACAGGCACGTTTCCCGCACAGAACCATCAGGGCGACACGGTCGCCGCACCTGCAGAACGTCGACCACGGGAGACCACATCAAGGACACAATGAACACCGGTGGAACGCTACGAAGAACATCACCGATGGGTAACACGGAGGGTGAGAGCACTCTAGCTGGGCAACCGCTCAGGCCGGAGGCACATCAGGAACAATGAACACCTGCGGAACGTACGGAGAACATCAGGAACAATGAACACCTGCGGAACGTACGGAGAACATCAGGAACAAAGGAGAACGTCAGGAATGAACACCTGGGAAGGGATGGAGAACTTTATGAACAACAAACACACCGGGGAAAGGGCTGGAGGACATAAGAAACAATGGAAGACATCAGGAATAATAAACACACAGGAAAGGGATAGAAAATATCAGGATCATGAACACCTGGGAAAAGGGATGGAGAACATCAGGAACAACGGAGACGGGTAAGGAACAGAACGAACACACGGTGGGAAGGTGGAGAACATCACGGAACAACAGAACACCAATGGGGAACGGATGGAGAACATCAGGGCAACGAGGACGACACCACGGGGGAAAGGGATGGAGAACATCAGGAACATTAACGGAGAACGTCAGGAACAACAGAGAACGTCCAGGAAACACACTGAAGCCACACGGGCCGGAAGGGTATGGAGAACAGCGCAAGGAGACAACGAAACACATGATGGAAACGGATGGAGGAACATTCAGGAACATTAACGGAGAAGCGTCCAGGAACAACGAACACACGGGGGAAGGATGGGAGACATCAGAACACACGAACACATGAGCGGAACGGCATGGCAAGAACATCAGAAAAACAACGGAGACGTCAAGAACAACGAAACACATGGGGGAATGGATGCGAGAGAACATCAGAAACAACAACTATTGGAAAAAGATAAAGACATCAGGGACCGTGAACCCCGTGAAGGGATGGAGACTATCAGCAAACACGAACACCTAAGGAGAGGGTCATGGATTAACAACAGGACATCTAAAACCTGTTACTTGAGACTTAGGAACAAGAAACACCTGCGACGATTAAATCCACACTAGCGTGGAATGACACGCACGAGCTGACAATTTGACAGGTCGACAATTTGCGTGCACGCACGACACAACACGCTAAACTGATCCTAGCTGACGGACCAGTAAAGCAACGAATATCAAGCGGGCTGTGGTTCACACTGCATCACAATAAGCTAATTCCAGCAAAATAAAAAACGGACTTTTACTGTAACAGTCAATATGTTTCATGCACGCCAGGAAATGCCAGACGAACATCGAAGCTATAGCTTGTCATATCTGCTTATACATGATCTAGTTATGATCAATTCGGATATGATATCTCATTTATGGAGGCTCGTGATGAGTGGTCTAGCCATCGCAGAGCGATGCGTGTGTAAAACTAAAACGCACGCAGTCGCGGGGGGGAGCGCAACGGCAAGAAGGAGAAGGGCCGGTCGGTGCACTGGGGCGACACCTGTGATCCGACAATCAAGGTGAGACTCCTGCGAGTGTGTTGTTGCCTCCGTGTAACGCCCACTTCTGTATAACGGCCACTTCTGTATAGCGACCACCTTTATATAACGGCCATTTCTGTATAGTCGTCACTTCCGGATAGAGGCCACCTGTGTGTAAAGGCCACGTTAGGGGCGTCCGTCGACTAGTGGTTATGCGGTGGAACCACCTATCGATTCATTAATTTCATATTTCGGTTTCCTTGTTTTACGTGAAAACTGTGTTTTCGAGTGAATCTTTGCCTTGACGTACCACTTCTATTATCCTATCTATTGTATTCTATTATAAGTTTTCTGATTGAACTAAAGTCAACAATTGCCTTGCTATAGAAAAATTCAACGCCCTACTTTCCATCTTGCTGCTTCCATCTACTTTCCGTAGACAATTAAAATTGATCGCCTACCTTTCAACTCCTCCATCGCTCCCTTAATTTTCTGAATAATCCAATCGGCAAAAGAATTCCCTTTTGCTCCTAAACAAAGATTAAAGTTCAACCCTCTGAGTGCTGAACCAAACTAGACAGCGTTTGACTTCAGAAACTCGACTTTGTTGCTGCGTTTTATTGGCAGGCAGAAAATTCCCCTTTGCCCCATAACCAGTGGTTCTTAACTTTTTTTGAGTCATGGACCCCTTTGAGAATCTGGTGAAAGCTACGGACCCCTCTCCAGAAAAATGCACATGAGCACATAAGCACACAATTTTGCATGCGCCCCCTGAAACCCATCCACAGACCCCAAAGGGCTCCATGGACCACAGGTTAAGAACCTCTGCTAAACGAAGGTTAGGAGTTTAACCCTCTGAGCGCCGAATGGGACTTGATAGCGTCTGCTTTCAGCACTCGACTTCGTTGCTTGGCTCGACTAATATTTGCATGTTATCTGCCCCACTATTTGTTGCTTCAGTTCGTTGGCAGGTGAAACTGTCTCATCAGTACATGGACATGGTGAATTTTTGCCTCGATGTACCTCTAACTTGCCGCTGTCCCCTAAGTTTTCTGATTAGAGTTTTAAGCTCTCCGAATGTGACAGCGTTTACCTTCAGCATCTGAACTGCTTCGGTTCGTTTGCAAACTATTCAAAGTCGACGTCATTTACCTTCTTCGCTCGCCATCGTTTGACGCCATTGCTTTGCTCAACTTTGTTGCTTGGCTCAACTTTGTTGCTTGGCTCAACTTTGTTGCGTGGGTCAACTTTGTTGCTTGGCTCAACTTCGTTTCTGTGGTTCGTTTGCAGGTGAAGCTGTGTACATGGACATGGGGTGAATGCGACAGCGTTTTACTTTGGCATCTCAACTTTGTTGACTTCAGCAACTCAACTTCGTTGCTTCGCTTCGTTTGCAGGTGAAGCTCTGTCAGCAGTACATGGACATGGTGTGGCATAGCTTCACCGCGCAGTTGCTGCTGCGCTTCCAGCAGCATGCGTGGGGAGGCGAGCGCGCCGACCACGATCACCTCGGTCACATCGCTCTGCTGCCGGACGCCGTTACCATGGTGCTAATACAGATGCTGCGGCTGATCAGTGCCAAATCACAGAGTGAGTGTGTGGGTGTGGTGGGCCAAATCACAGAGTGAGTGTGTGGGTGTGGTGGGCCAATCACAGAGTGAGTGTGTGGGTGGGGTGGGCCAAAGTCACAGAGTGAGCTTGTGTCGGGTGCGGGGCAGGGGGCGCAAATCACAGAGCTGAGTGTGTGGGTTGGGGTGGGCGCCAAATCCACAGAGTGAGTGTGGTGGGTGCGGGGAGGGGGGCCAAATCACAGAGTAGTGTGTGGGTGGGGTGGGCCAAAGTCACGAGAGTGAGTGTGGTGGGTTGGGTGGGGCGCAAATGCACAGACGTGAGGTGTGGTTGTGTGCGGGGAGGGGCCAATCACAGAGGAGTGTGTGGGTGGGGTGGGCGGCAAATCACAGAGTGAGTGTGTGGTGCGGGGAGGGGGCCAAATCAGCAGAGTGAGTGTGTGGCGTGCGGGGAGGTGGGCCAAATCAACAGAGAGTTGGGGGTGCGGGGAAGGGGCCAAATCACAGAGTGTAGTGTGTGGGTGGGGTGGGGGCCAAATCACATGAGTGAGTGTGTGGGTGCGGGGTAGGGGGTCCAATCACAGAGTGGAGTGGTGGGTGGGTGGTGGGCCAAACACAGAGGAGTGTGTGGGTGGGGTGGCCAAATCAACAGAGTGAGTGTGTGGGTGCGGGGAGGGGGCCAAATCACAGAGTGAGTGTGCTGGTGGGGGGAGGGGGCAAAATCCAGAGTGAGTGGTGTGGGTGCGGGAGGGGGCCAAATCACAGAGTGAGTGTGTGTGTGGTGGGCGGGGAGGCGGGCAAAATCACATTAGGTGAGTGGTGTGGGTGCGTGGTAGGGGCCAAATCCCAAGAGTGAGTGGTGGGTGGGGGTCCGCCAAGGATACAGAGGGAGTGTGTGGGTGGGGTGGGCCAAATCAATCCAGAGATGAGTGTGTGGGTGCGGGAGGGGGCCAAATCACAGAGTGAGTGGTGGGCTGGGGGTGGCCAAATCACAGAGTGAGTGGTGGTGGGTGGGGTGGGCCAAATCACAGAGTGAGTGTGTGGGTGCGGGGGGGGGGGGGGGGCATCACAGAGTGAGTGTGGGGTGGGGTGGGCCAAATCACAGAGAGTGAGTGTATGGGTGCGTTGCAAATCAACAGAGTGAGTTGTGGTGGGGTGGCCTGAGGGGGGGGCTGGCACCGATGACCGGTGGCGAGAGAGCGAGAGATTGTACATCAGTAAGTGTGTGAATATAGACTATAAATATGTAGTAGATAACGATCTAATAGTTGGATACATCATTACTGATTGTATTACATCGTGATGAATGTATCACTGAGAACAGAATGTGTTTAGTTATCCGATTATATTTGCTTATTGTGTGTTGTGTGTGTGTATGCGTGCGTCGTGCGTGTGCGTGGCGTGCGTGCGTGCGTGCGCGTGCGTGCGACGTCGTGTGTGCGTGTGTGTACGTGTGTGTAATGCGTATGTGTGTGTGCGCGTGCGTGCGCGTGCGTGTGTGCCGTGTGTGTACGTGCGTTGTGTATGCGTTGTGTGTGCGTGCGTGCGTAGTGCGTGCGGTGTGTATGCGTGCGCATTTGCGTTGCCATGCGTCTATGTAGTGCGAATGCGATATTCATCATTGTAAACACTTATCTTATTCGATCTTATTTCTAACCGATGGGTGTTTCCATAAGCAGCCATCCCTTACTTAAATAGGCTTAAGTATAGGCCACATAGGCTTACGACAGTGTAACCGGCACTCGACGGTTCCTGTCGTATCGTGAGTAAGCATTGGAATTCTAGGATGACAGCCAGGCGTGAGTGTTGTACCTGGGTATTATGAAGCGTGCTTGTCACTACTCTGTATTGGGCAGGCGAATGCTTACCCGTCGTGTGCATTGAATTTCGGTGTCGATCGTGGTGTAGGAGGCTGTACAGGTCTCTGCTCAAGCACAGTGGATACGGAGGAGTGCAAAGAGAACACAGATTACAAGCTCAGGCTGGGAAGCTGAGTGGGTTGTAACCTGTCTAGGGCTTCTGTTGTACTGTCTTTTTCTTCTCTTCCTCTAGCTAAACTATTCTTTTGTGTCCATCCGTCCTTTTTCTTTTCTTTTCGCCATTCTCGTTCCTTCCTCTTCCTTCTCCTGCTTCCTTCTCCTCCGCTCTTCCTTCGTCTCTCTGCCTTTCCTCCTCTTACCCTTCTCTCCTGGGCTCTGCCATTCTTCCTTTCCTCGCATTATTATCTTTCTCTTTCTTCTCCGTCCTCTCCTCCTTTGCCTCCTCTCTCCATTCCTCCTCTCGCTTTGAACCGCTCCTTTTGCTGTGTGCGTTCGCATCCGTGCGCTCTCCTCCTCTCTCCTACTCCTTCCGCCCTCGCCTATGCGTGCTTTCTCTTGCTTCAATCGTGAGTAAATCTTAAAGCGAAAAGCCTATACTACAATGCGCGGTCAATCGTCTCATAATATATATATGTATCAGTCAAAAGGGAGTAAAGCAAATTTCTAATTTACACTCGAACACAAGAAGGCGAAAGCTTGAGGAGTTCATGTATACTCGGCACAGAGTTTATATAGAGATGTTAAGATAGGCGGCGTTACTTCACTGCTCACTGGGGACTGTCGAGAGTGTGTTTTTCTGTTACCCTAGGAGAGGCGGATGAGAGAGTATTGGCAGAGTGTGAGCGTGGGGGTGAGGGTCAGAGAGCTGATGGATAACCGGGCAGACGCCCATGGTTTCGCCTCGCCCCTTCTACCCCCCTATATAATTATATACTAGATAGGTCGATGTGTCTCTCTATAATATTTCTATGGTTCCAA